GGCTATTGAAAAGTAAATCTAAAGTTATTTTTTAATCCGACACATTTCTTTTACTTTAAACGTTATTTTTAGTAGATACTCGTATTTGTATTTTACTGTAAAAAGCATTTTACTTTGTCTACCGGTCTGCACATTCGAGATATCTTATTAAAGAAAAAATCTTTAATAATATATCATTAATATTATATTATTTAATAAGTTATATTTTCTTTAATAAGATTTCTAGAATGTGCAGCCTGTATATGAAACAAAATACTGTTTAAAATAAACAGAGAATTTACTTATATACAGGTGTCCACTAAAAATGTATGTAGTGATTTTCCAAACATAGCTTAGATGCGGCACAAGGCCGAAAGTACGGGGCACCCAGCGAGGATCGAACTCAATATTCAGTCGAAACTGTTATAGCGAGACAAGCTTTCTAACCATTACACCACGCTGAGGTGCCTCATGTATGTGCATGTATGCGTGTGCCTGTGTATGTATTGAAGTTGCTTCAATTTTCGTCACGAAACATGAGATATGTGTCCCACATTTTCATTTAAATTAATCTACCTAAGTTATTGAAACATATTTTATTGTGTTGCTATGAATCACTTTGTTCTTCGAGTGTACACAGAAAGTGGGTTCTGATTGATTCATTTTCCATTCTGACAAGAAGTTCCCCAAATTTAGACAAGACATTTCACAACCTACGGGGACCATAATCTTTTTAATCTAAATGCAAGTCGTGGTCTTCTGAAGAAACTGTCCCCTTCTCTCTTTTTCCATTTACAGGAGAACAACATGGATTTCATGTTGTTATAAACTATCTACAATCGTATTATCACCTGTTATTTTCAGTAATGAAGTACTTTCACAATTCCATCTGACTAGATGAACTTCACAACGATTAGAATTTCCATCACGATTTGTTGTAGGCGCCTCGGCATAAAGCAATGATTAGCAATTTCACATATTATTACTGGGGTTGACAATTCGATTCTTACTCCTAAACTCTTGGCCTTGTGTTAAACAATTCTGACTAGAATATCAACAATAACACGCATGGCTGATGCTAAATTCCAGGAGAGGAACTCACTACGCCATCTTGGCTTCACGTTTTCCACGGACATGAAGCGGAGGGGGTTATATCAAGTCAATTGCTCGGGGATCTGCTGCGAGGAAAGTTGGTCCACTGTGTCGTACCAGAACATTTTTCTCGACAGAATCCGTCTTGCACATTTATAAATCTACCATTCGTCTGTGCGTTGAATACTGCTTCCAAATCTGGTCTGCTGCTCCTGCTATACATCTCGAGATTCTTGACCAAATCCAGAGAAAGGTCAGCAATACAATCAATCCTGATCTGGCATTTCGACTTTAGTCTTTTACTCATAGACGTCTTTGCTACAAATATGTTCATGGCAATTCCTCTGACGAGTTTTTCTTTTCCCTGGTGCCAGGATTACATTAATTTAAGCATGCTACTAGATTGGCATTTAGGTCTCATTCTTTTACTATTGAAATAGCTAAATACAATCGCGACTACCATCCCAAAGTGTCTTTTCTCGTAATTCCCACTTGTGGAGCTTCCTTCCATGTTCTTGCTTCTCTGATAACTACAACCTTTATGAATTTACAGGGCAACGTCAATCACAATTTTCTGTTTTTTTTTTTTAACCCCGTTCATCTTTTGTCCTTTCCTCAATCGTCCCTATTCTAAGTCTTCTCATTCCCTTTCACTACCCCCCGTGACCCCCCCTGCATACTTGGCGTGAAATGATTAAAAAAAAAAGATAGTTTCGTAGATCATGACTGCTGGAGTGAGTTCGATCGTGACAAGATTTTTGGTGCTTGTTTCGCCCAATACACGGCCACTGAGCCCTTCAAGGCAGAGGGTTACTGATTGAGATTAATGTACATGAAAAGAGGGGGCATTTTAAGAAGATATGTAGGAAAGATGGATGGTTAACTCAAGACATAAGGATTGTAGTGATTGGAGATTCAAAGAGAAAGAATTCCAGGATTGACATGGCATTTAAATTTTTGATGATCGAAGTTGACAGGAAACCAAGAAGATGGAAGAGAGTTCAACAGGCGAGAAGTGGGAGAGAAGAAACTATTAGAATCTAGCTTGAGGGACTCTCTTTTGCCTTCTTCTGCCTTCTGGCTTCTTCCTTTCCGGTCAACTTTGATCTTGAAAAATTTAAATGCAATATTAATCGTTATTTATTGTCTTCTTTATTCCTCTTTTATTGTTCTCGCTCGTTAATAGCTCTCCACAATTTCCTCTCCTTCGTGGCTCTTAATAAATGTTGTCGTTTTGTTATTTCTCCTAAATCTTGTTCCGGCATCGATTTTCTCAAGCTCAGTATGTTATGCCTTGTTTTCCTCTTGCCCTCAATCTGTCCTGTGAGTATCAGATTTTCCAAACCCTCTTTCCTTATTATGGATCTCAGAAACCTCAACTCTCTCTTTCTGATGTTAAGAAAAGGTTCCTTTTTATTTCCATTTTCTCTAATTTTTTTCTTTATGTGCTATTTCCATTCAGAACATAGGCGATCGTGGCTCTCCACTACTTCCTGTCCTTTCTAGCTCTTAATAAATTTTTGTTTTTTTGTTATCTCTCTTAAACCTTGTTCTGCCATCCATTTACTCAAGCTCATTAAGTATTTTATGCATTGTTTTACTCTGTCTCTCTTGTCTTCAATCTGTCCTGTGAGTATCAGACTTTCCAAGCCCATTTTCCTCATTAGATATTTTAACTGTCTCGTCCTGATATTAAGTATGATTCCCTTTTGTTTCCGTTACGCTGAATTGCCATTCTTCCAAATGCTTTCGTCCTCATGCAGGTGTCCCTCGCTTAAGGCTCTATTCTTTGTCCTACCTTCTTTTTAATTTTCATTAATGACATTCTTGATGGCATCAGCCCTCAATTTGGAATGTACGCTGGTGACACAACAATTTACTCCTGTCTGTATGTCTGATCGATTCGATAAGTTTCAAAATGGCGTCTGATGTTAAAACGACCTTCAATCTTTTGTTAGCTTGGGCAAATGATGGCTTGTCAATTTTAACGCTTCCAAAACTAAGCTGCTCTCTATTACTAATCAGAGATATCCTTTCTGCTTCCCGTCAGCATGGCTGGTTCTAACCTCCAAACGAGTCATTCGCTGTGCCTTCTCAGGCTAATGTTCTCGGCTGACATGAAGTGGAAAGACTATGTGGAACTCGTGGCTATATCTGCTGCTAAGAAAGTCGGTTCAGTGTATCGTGTCAGACATTTTCTCTCCCCAGAATCTCTCTTACATATCTATAAATCTACCATTCGTCCATACTTAGAATATTGCTGCCACATAGTTCGGTGCTCCTGATATTTAACTTGAGCTTCTTGGTAAAATCCAAAGAAGAATCAGCAATATTATTGGTCCTGATCTGGCGGCTCGGCTTCAATTCCTTTCCACCACCGCAAGGTTGCTTTTCTGTATCTTCTCGATAAATACTTCCATGGTAATTGTTCGGATGAGCTTTTCGCTATGTTACGTAGAGTTTTTGATTTTCAGCGCAGTACTAGACTGCCAATGAGGTCTCAACGATATACAGCTGAGTTGGCTCGATGTAACCGTAAATTCGATGTTAACACTTTCTTTTCTCTATGTTAACAGCTTTTTTCATTTATGGATATCCCTTTCGGTTCCATGCTTTCCAGCCAAATTCAGTCTTAAAAAAAAATTAATGTAATAACAATGGCTATCTACTGACTTTCTGATTACTCATTTTCTGTACTCGCTTCATAGTGGTGTTTCTGTTTTCTAATTCTTCCCCTTCCCAGTAACTCCTTGTGTCTCAGCGACTTTACTGCCTTGCTTGGGGTGAAATTGCGGAACGAAAAGAGACGCCTTTCGTAATACCGTGACGGCACCGGTCGCGGTTCCGGCTTAGAGGCTTTCAGCCGTTATCGCGCGGAGGCAGCGTGGCACCGCTGCTCGTTCGAGCGAGCACGCGAACCGTTGCTCCGATCCCGCGGTTCCTCTCGTACTGGACGGGATAGCCGTGGCCACGGCCGACGTAACACACGTGCCGATCGGTAGGATAAAACTAACCTGTCTCACGACGGTCTAAACCCAGCTCACGTTCCCTGTCAGTGGGTGAACAATCCAACGCTTGGCGAATTCTGCTTCGCAATGATAGGAAGGATCAAAAAGCGACCTCATTTCGAACGCTTGGCTGCAACCAGCCAGTTATCATCTTTTTTCTTTTATTTATTATCTGTGAATTGCCATCCGTTGTGTATAGAGGAGTGGTTTCTCGTTGCCTTTTCTACGGTTTGAATTGAAATTCTCTAAGACTGGTTAGCATTCAAAGCTAACGAGCTCAGTCAAGACTACTATTTAACCCATATCTGGGTGAATAAGAGAAGATATTCATACATTTCTCAGAAGGATCACTCTATATCGGAATTAGAATTCGGATCGCCGATTTGCCTTTGTAGGCCAATAGCCTTTACACTACCCGCACAGACAAAAGATATAAGAAGTCGTAATTGTTCAATGTTTATTCAGACTGCTGAACTAAATCTTGTTTAATCGTTACAAGTCTGTTTATATTAGTCCATTTTACAGCCTTCAAGTATTGATTGATTGATTTTTTTTACTGATTATAAACCTTTTGCAGGTTATTTAAAGCCAGAAATTATTTTTAGATTGTAATAGTTTTTGAAGGTGATAATGACTTACTGATACAAGTCCGATTAATTAATCTATAGCTGGAGAAGAAATGATGGATTCATGCCTTTCCCAAGTGTATTTGCCTCTAAGTGATTATAACGAACCCAAATGGAATTGGAACTCGGCTCTGCGGTTTCCAATTCCGAGCCGTTATCCATTACACCAGCCGCACATCCTTTTAACCCCTTCAGCCCTAAGTAAGGCACATAATGCCACTAAGACGCAAGCGGTTACTGGAAGTGAAAGTGAATGTGAAGACATTAGAAGGAACCGCCCATCCAAGCTTACAGCTGACATTCCCATATGCTCATCCATCTCAATACTGACCAGGATCGACGTTGCTTAACTTCAGTGATTGTACGAGAACTGGTGTTCCAATGTGATGTGGCCGTAAGCCATACCAAATGTATATCGAAGCGGTCACCCATTTAGGTATTGAATAGGCTCGACGTTGATTAACTTATTGATCATAGGACAATATCCATTATCGTTTTTGTAAGGAAACTGTGGCTGATATATATATATATATATATATATATATATATATATATATATATATATATATATATAATTATTTATATATTATATGCGCGGTACCTATTAGAAAGCGCTCAATATCAGAGATAGAGCTAACATATTTGGTTGGATTGATGTGAGTTTGTGACCCTGGGTTTCACGCTCTTGCGATCGTCAAACTGATAAATTTGTTAAAATTTTGGGTTTATGTAGATTGCGTGTATTGGTGTTATTATGGGAGTGGGGGGGGAATCGTCGTCGTGATGCCATCGTGCTAACGCAAACATAGATGCATGTCCGTACACCCGATGAGGTACGTAGACACACATACACACTTGCTCGTCTGCCAGGACTCATACATATATAAACATATGTGGACAGTATGGGATTTGGCATATGTATGTATATGTGTGCTGTTGTCTCTATACATACGCATTTGTGTGTTGAAATTCAAAGATTGGAAGTGTAGCGAAAATTTCTCGTGAACGTCTCGTGAATGTATACATGTCAGTTATCAGAGCATTTTTCTTTTTTTTCGCTGAATAATATTTCCTCGCATGCATGTATATACGTGTGGTGGGGACTGTGTAAAATTATGATAGGTAAAAATTACTATTATTTTTATTTAAAAAAAAATGTTTATTTGTTATTATTTTAAAGCTGGTTATTTGCTTGTTTTTGATGTCTGAAAACCAGGGTCACAAACTCACATCAATCCAACCATATATATATATATATATATATATATATATATATATATATATATATATATATATATATATATACCGTCTCACCTTATTCCCAGCAATGCGAGCCATATCAGATATTTAATGTTATTGTTGCTTGGACATTAGGTAGTTATGTCGTGATAGCTTCCCCTAGTGTTTGTGGTAGTCAGTATAATGACAATATCAACTGAATCATTTATTTATGCAAAAAGAGGATCACAGACTGACCAAAATTTGAAGCTTCATTGTTGCATTTGTTAACCAATACGAACACTTGTAGCGAACGTTAAACATTTTTTTTAACATAAAGGTCTCTGAATTGAAATTAAAATTGCATGTAAACAGATTTCCAATTTGGAATCCTATCAACGATATTTTAGCCAATGAAAATGCGAATAATATATTGCATTAATATTTTAAATTCAATCAGAGTTTTAATTAATACATCAAAATTCATTTCTATTAATCAAAAACTAGAGTTTTTTTTTTAATAACATATCACTTTTTTTAGCTGATCTTAATAAGATTTTAATTAATATTTTTAATTTCCTTAACACCTTTATAAACATAAATTATATATTAATTAAAATATTCACGATTTTCTTTGGTAACGTGTTCCATGGTGAAGCGATCCAGGTAGTGACTAAGGTTAATGAATTCTGATCGAAATGCAGTGTCTAATTTATGGTAATCATAGCCTGCGAAGTGAATTTGCTAACACCTGCTCTTCGGCTATTCACCTAGAGTTCAATATGTATCTATAAATTTATCTATCTATTTACAACGCTAAAATGATTCAATTTATTCATCATAAATCATCTAGAAGAATTATTAAATCAATTATAATATTAAAATTCAGTTCGATTCAGTAGGTATATAACATATAATCTTTTCTAGTCAAGAAAATAATATCAAAATAGATATTGGTTAAACATTTGATAAGCTTTTAAATTAAATATTATATTTTCCATAGCATAATATATATTTGTGAACTAGAAATATAGCCACGAAAGAAATAAGCCTCGTTTTTTGTAAATTTCTAAATCGAGTTCACTGAATCCATTCCATGCAGACGTAGTAAAGAACCATATCACGTGACAAAGAGGAAGAATAATGGACCAATCGGATAATTCTGTTTTGGTTTTCAAAATCTTTAAGATCGGAGTCTCTAGAAAGAAAGTCGGCATCTCAACAGCCAGATGCATCGGCTTCAGAAGGATTCGATTTGCTACCAGCGATTTCAAAAGGGATTTCAATGTCAAACGATTTTTGCCGAGATGGATACAACTAACAGTTTAATGGACCCCCGTCTCTCTCTCTCTCTCTCTCTCTTTCCTCTCCCCTCTCTCTCTATGTAATAATTCCTCAATTTTTATTCATACTGCTGAACTAAATCTTTACGTTGTTTAATCATTACAAGCACGTTTAGATCAATCCATTTTACAGTTCTCATCAAACCAACAAGTATTGATTGATTGATTTTTTTTTTACTGATTGATTGATTTTTTTTTACTGATTATCAAACTTTTGCAGCTTATTTAAAGCCAGAAATTATTTTTTAGATTGTAATAGTTTTTGGAGGTGATAATGACTTACTGATACAAGTCCGAATAATTAACCCATAGCTGGGGAAGAAATGGTAGATTCACAACTTTCTAAAATCTTTATGTTGTTTCATCATATGTGTATATATTCTCTCTTATTTACGCATATACACACCCTAAAAAGAACATTCATTTCATTTCCTTCAAAAATTTTTCGTTAATAAATTTTAAATTAAACTAACGCTCTTGATAAGAATGACAGCAAAGCATTCACCACTTCAGATTCATAAACAAATCATACAGATTCATACTAGAATTTCTTCCTAGCCAATAAGATAGGACACTTCACGATCCCATCCGCCATATTCTTACTTTTTCTTATCTTAAAGTCAGAATGCTGCAATCACTTGTGTGTAGGCCTTTGCGTGTTAAGATCATTCTTACTTTGTGAACTTTTTGTCTTATTACTGTTGTTTGCTTACTATATATATATATATATATATATATTGTTTGCTTCGTATTGTTTTTGCTCTGTTGTTTTCTTTCTTTTGTAATTATTATTTATGGGAAACTTTGTCAATTCTTACCAGTTGCACTTAACCATGGCCAAATGCTCTACAGGGTATGAGCCCAAAAATAAACTCTGTATCAACGGTGACGAATCCAAAAATGAACTATGGGAAGTAACATTTTTAGGATACAAGGCAATCCAAAATTTACACGAAACTATCTTGGCGCCGCACGATCGTCCCAATGACCAAAAGTACCATGAAAAGAATGTAAACGTGTTTTCTCGAATTCAGTTTCTAGATGACCGAAGTCTGTCACTTATTATGAGAGAAGCTTACATATTTAACCATAGACAATTACTTAACATCATGTTTTTTAAAATATATATATATATATATATATATATATATAATAAATCAAGAAGAAAAACTTAAAGATCCATTTCGGTTATAATTTATTTCGTGAATATTTCTATATTCATCTCTTCAGAATCTTCAGAGAGTTCTTTATATATATATATATATATATATATATATATATATATGTTGTGGTAGGATCCACCTAATTTGCATAGTGGAGTACCGACCATATAAATATGGTTGGTACCGGGAAGAGAGGGAGGAATCAAGAGATTCAACCAGAGACTCTGCCCGACTGCGACTCAGTCAACACATTCTCCAGGAACGGTCTTACCAGTAATATATAAAAGACTATATGTAAATATTGTGTACACTTTTTTGTTTCAATACATTTTGTTCTAAGTACATTTTGTGTTGCATTATTATTCCATGCATTAGTCAAGTTTCAATATATATATATATATATATATATATATATATATATATATATATAAAATAATCGTTGTTATTATTCTGTCAATACATGTATGTGTTAAATTTATTTTTGTGAATATTTTCCACCAAGTTTTGTTAGGGAAATGCTATTTAATCTAAACGGACCTGCACATAAATATTAACTCTATATTTATTTTATGTTCGTAATTTATATTTTTACTTAAAAGCATTCAGTATTTTCTTATGCTATACTCGTCTTATTTTCGTTCATTAATTTCTATTTTTTTAGATAACTCTATATATAATCACCATATTTACATTTTATTATTAAGATATTTCTTATATGTACAAATTCAGGATTTCTTTCGGGATCCATGGTTGAATTTTCTTCGGTGGCTTCACCAGAACCTCTTCAGTTGTTCTGAGTAAGACTTCTTTGATGTCAAATGCGAGAGTGTCAACATTACTGTCAAGTTGCAATCTTGCCGAGGACTTGGGTCTGCAAAACCTTCTGCAACTTCAGGATCCTTCACCTTCTCAAGGTTAAAGGAGAGTGCTTAGTTTTCAGATTTAGCTTGAAGGTTGTCATCACAAGGTCATGATTGCTGCCGATGTCAGCGTCAGGGAATGTCCTTGTTTTCCGCCTTGTTGAATGCAATAGATGATGAATAACAGCTAAATCAGGTTGGAGGTTTAGAAAAATATTAGTCACATATTTTTTGGTTACGCTTGTAGAAACATATTTAAGATATTTAACAGAATTAAATAAAAAAATTGTTTGATCTTCCTTTTTGATTCTGTCCGACGGAACGATCGAATGTACTTGATTTCCTCCCAATTTAATTATGGACTGTTTATTCGCGGATTTTCCATCTAATATATATAGTAATCTCTAAAGAATGAATATATTTCATTTATTTTACTTTTATTTTTAGTGTAATTGGACCTTGTTAGACTGCGAAGCTCTCAGTGCTGTCTAAAACACGTCGGATGAGACGGTTGTTTCCTCCTACAAAGGAGGTTGCAGGTTCGAACCTTCTCGGTAGGCGCATTTTCTTAATTAAGACTCACTTAATGTACATGATGGTAGGTGTAATCACATTGTTTAAAACAAAGCTAGGCGTCTACTGAAACACGTGTATCCGCTATAATACTGAGGTCAGCACCAAGCGGAGACAGTCTGTTTCATGCTTCAATGTAATCTTCAGGTCATATGCGTTGTGTTTTGCCCGACTATTTATATATGCTGGTCAGTAGTGCATTATGTGTAATAAAGTTTACTTTAAACCTTACTACCAGTAA